GCTTTTGGGGACATGTTTTCTTTTGAGGGACACCCCAATAATTAAGGAATTGAGGAACCCACCTGTTGAAAAGTGAGGCTGGAAGCTTGCCAAAAGTGCCCCCTAATAAGGATTCCAAGACGTTAGTATTGGTTTAGTATTGGCGCAATGGAAAGTCAATTGTGTGGAGTGGAAATCTGGTCCCGGGCCCCGGATTTGCATTTATTATTAATTGGGGTCATTCATTAATTGGGGGAAGAGATTAACTCTGATCAAAATAAGACCAAAACTTTGGCGATGCATTCTCGCATAGATGATCCCCCCATGCTTTGAACAAATATGTATTGTGTTCCTTCCCCTTTTGTATACATTTATACATTCCTTGGGTTGATAGGCAGAACACCAAGATATATTGGGGGGCTACATGACCTTCAGTACTCACGCATGATGAGGCGTTCATTGTTGGTGTCCAGGATGTTCAAGGCAAGGCTCGAATATGGGCGTACCTCCACTCCTGTTTTTGTGTGTAACGTTCTGTTTCTGTTGCTCTCGATGTTAAGCAAATTGGCAACCACACCGCTTCTATGAGTTTGCTTTGGACGGCCAGCCGGCAATGGCGCAGTAGATGCTCCATTCGCGTTGTTCCTAAGGCTTTGTGGTACCATTTCGATAACCTGCAAAGAAGCCGTGCCGTTCTCTAGCCCATCGTCAATACACTTTGCGATGTTACGTTAGAACTTGGAATGGTCTCGAAGTCGCCCTTTTGGAACTCGCAGTTCCGCCAGCCAGTTGGCCAAGGTAATAATTTGATGGCCAATTCTCAATCTTTGCAGCCATCCAGGCGCCGAACGGCTAGACTCTGAGCTTCGTAGTTTGATCCATGTCAAAACATCTTAGTATGCTTGCTCGGGCTGCCGCAGCTTCACCAGGAGGTAGAACAACAGACATACCACATTGACAGTCCAGGCCGATGAATTATATAAACAGGTGGCATCCGACCCAAACTTTGTAAACGCGTCCATGCATTTTGGCTTTGAACGCAAATACCAAATACAGTATGGGTGTCCAGACATGTGGGTGGGAATTCTTTGAAAGGACTGCAAAAGGAAGAATGCACAATTGGAGCCTCCGGACTGGCAGTACCAGGGGTTTCAAAAGTTGCTCTCATTTACGGCGGCCCACTTTCTCCCTTCTGCACAACAATAAGGGATTTTCCGGGCTCACGCCAAGGCCTCGCCACTGTGACACATTGCTTGGGGATCTTAGCCCACGAGTGCCGCCAATACCTATCACCTGTTGGTGTCCTGGTCTACCCGAAGGTTTCTTGAAGCCGTTGCTGAATTCGTCTCGTTGGATTTCAACTTGCTGAAACATGGTTCTGAATGGCTCTGCCACTTTTTTCCCCACGTCATTTGTGAGGTGTTGTTTGTGTGATTGTTTTTTCAATTCAGAACAGAAACTAACAAGGTGACGGTATGTGACGGTTTGGTATGGCATTGGGTCACGCTCTTTGAATTTCTCCCAGTCCGGACCCAAGAAGGAGCTCGGCTTACAGGCATGGTTTGCCGCCAGCGCTCATTTTCCTGAAAAGCAAACCCTCAACTTACCCCGGACCGGATCCTCAACTTCCCAAGTCCAAACCCCGCGTTTATTTTTTCCACCGAGGACATGGGCCCGGAGGAAGAGCTGCTCTTCTTGGACCCACAGCTCACGGACGCCACAGCGCTGAGCCGCTGGGCGGACACGGTGACCGAGGGAAAGAATCGCAAAGGACTTGTTCAGTTCCGTATGTCATCTTAATCAGAAGAAAGTTAACTTTTTGCATGGGTCTAAGTCTCGCCAAGTTAGTAGCTACACACCGGCACACTGTAGTATAAATGGGAATTTCCAAAATGCTGGACCTCCTTTTGGATAGCCTTCAAAGGAGGCAAAAAAGTATCCGACCGCAGGAGGAGGCCCCCAATTTCGAGAGACACCTGACTAAGACTATCCATCTTTGAATGGACAGTCGAAGGTTCACTACCACAGTCAACCTACAAGCCACTTTGCTTTGCCATCCCAGACTCAGTCCCATCAGACATGTAGGCTTGTTTGTTTGTTTTGTTTGCTTGGTTGGTTGGTTGATTCTTTTTTGTTTGTTTGCTTGCTTGCTTGTTTGCTTGTTTGTGTGTTTGTGTTTGTTTGTTTGTTTGTTTGTTTGTTTGTTTGTTTGGTTGGTTGGTTGGTTGGTTGGTGGGTTGTTTGTCTGTTTGTTTGTGTGTGTGTGTCTCTGTGTGTGTGTGTGCCCTTGTGTGCATGTGTTTGTCTGTGTGTGTGTGTGTTTGATTATGCTTGTGTGTTGTGCTGACGGTTGCTTGGTTTGTGCTTGTGTTTGTGTCTTTGCCAGTGTTTGTGTTTATGTGTGGTTGTGCCTGTGGCATCGACGTATCTGTGTTTGCGTTTGTTGTGTGTCTGTGTTTTTGTTATTTAGCCTAAGCAGGCCAATCGCAACAAAGTGCACTGCCGCCCTTTCCTCATGAACTACCGCAAAAGGCAACATAATGCAATGCCCTCAGAAATGCTAGCACCAGAATATCAAGCAAGCAAGCAGGCAGGCAAGCAGAGGGCAGCACAAACAAGCGCACGGTCAAACACGCAAGCACGGCTTGGGCTGAATCCCAGCCTGGGCCCGCACCCCGTAGGCTTCCGGGGGCTGTGGCTCACCACCCAGCACCGGGCTCAGCTCAAGCTGCCACTCAAGGCGCGGGAAGCCTATGATGTCCGTTTTGGATGGTCTCCAGGCGAAGGGTTCTTGTAAGTAACTTCCGTCCTTGTTTTGGTTAAACATTCAAAACGTCACCGTTTCTGGGATCTCTTTCAAACTTTCTGCGCTTTGAGGTTCAATTCCGGACCATAGTCAAACAGGTGGTGTATCCCTCAAGATCAACCCTGAATCCTTTTTACAAGGTGGTAGTGATTTCGCTTGTTGTACTTCTGTCCCATCATGCATTAGGATTAACTCCTCGATCTTAAACAACTCAGGTTTGGGTGGTTGAAGCCTCACGTTTTGGGCAAATGCCACTGTAATTGAGTCAATTGAATGATCTTTCAAGGCAACGCATAAGGGACCGCCCAAAGAGAGGCGAGTTTCAAGTGAAAACAAAAGAGCACCAACCTTCGTAGGGAGCCTCTAAATTTTGCGACAAGCCCACCTGTTCAGTTCTAAACTGTTTACTTGTTCTTCTTTTTTTTGGAACAAGGTCAAGGCAGTTCAAGCTTTCTCTGGCCTGTCAGCTCAATGTCTTGGCCCCACAAGATGCGCTTTATCGCGGGCTCAAATGATTGCACGTTTCCGGCTTTAACCAAGGACTACAATGGTTATTTGGGGAGGTGTTGTTTTCCCCAGGTAGTCGCGAGCAAATTGTTTAGGGTCTGAAAGTAGTTGGCTCTCATTTTCAGCATTGTCATGAGGGTGTCACATGGACCGAACCTTGCCTCCACGTTTGCATGTGCGTGTGGGATCTACGTGGGTGGTATTTGAGCATCGGGATTCTTGAAGATTGGTTTGCTTATACTTGCCGCTTTGGATGCATTCCAAAAGGGTGTTAATATCAAACGTTAAGACACCACCCATGTAAAACCAGCAGCCGTGGGTTTAATCCGTTTGGGATAGCCAGGGCCTTCGGAGAAGTGTTTGAAAGGGAATGCATGGAAGCACTTCTTTCCAGGTGTTGTAGTTGTTGGATTATTTTCATTGTTGGGCGGCCTGCAACCAACTTGTTTTGGTCTGCCATTCCAGGTTTCGGAAGGAATGTTTCTTTCTTTTAATTGTTATCTTTGCGCTACGGACTTGAGCTGGCATGATGATCCTTTGCCAGGAGAAGTCGCCGCTGATGCAGAAGCCGCTGTGGCTGTTGTCTCAAGCCAGGGGGCCTTTCCCCGTGATTGTGTTTGGATTCCTCAAACTCATTGCTTGCTTTTTGGCTTGACCTTTCGCGCCGCGTTTTGTCAAACATGCGAAGGGTTCCGATGCTTTGAGCAGAATTGGTTCGGGAGGCACGGGGCTGCCACGACCCTCTGACCCCGCAACGAAAACCACAGGCGGCCAAAAAAAACACGTGGTGATATGTTATAGATCTGCCATTTGGCTTGGTGAATGCAGCTGTACACGCAATGATTGGGTCTTAGTTTAAAACTATGGATATGCATCTATCTATCTATATATATATAGATATGTGTGTGTGCGTATGTGGGGGCACCCACTTGTTGGCATATGTATGTACAGATGCACATATGTAGGCAGACATGTAGCGCGCGCATACACATATATATTTATATACATATATATATTTTTCATGTTTCAACCTCTTCAGGACCCCTGCCCCATGGGAAGGATATGTTGTTCTTGATTGAGGTGAGACTATTGCTGGACCTTCCATTGGCTGATTTGAGGCTTGTCGGAGTTAGCAATCGGCGTTGTAGTTAAAGTCAGCAGCTTATCGTATGGACCCATGTCTATATATATATATATATATATTATACGTTCATTCGCCTCAGCATGTGTAGCTACACGTGTAGCTAGTTCCCGTAGGTACTTAAGTCATACTTCATGATTAGCCACCCCATAAGCAAGGGGTGCAGCAAAGGTTTACATGCGGGTTCGTACATTCAGGCTTTGACAAATGTCTGTTTTGTTAGGTGTGTGTGTGTGTTAGCTTGGTGTTTCCTTACTTGAATCAGGGAAATTGATTTCGACTCCTGGAATCTCAATTGTGGTAGCCAATGCTTCCCTTTTTGGGCACGGCGGGCTTGCGTCCACCTCTCCCTTTCCAATGTAGCAATAGTGTTTTTTGGGGGTCATGCTCTCCAACAACAGTTTCCACTTACTGGCTGAGGTGGGGAAGTATTTTCTGAAAGGCTTGGTGCGTAGAGCAATATCCACTATCAGTCACTTTCACCAGTGGGTGTCAGGGGCCACACTCACTCAACAGGGTCATCCAGGGCTTTTGGCAGTCTACCAGGAAGTCTGCAAGTTGATCCGCCAACCTTTCTATGCTTCGGGCCACTATTTGAAGGTTGCATTTGTTTGGTTCCATGTCCAACCATCAAGTTCTTTCTCAGAACCCAGTTGTGTCGCAATCAGGAAACCAAATTTGGATATGCATTCCCCCTCAGGCGCTTATTCGGTTCGTTTTGTGCCTGACAGTGCTTGACCATCGGTCAGTCCCAAGGGCGCCCTCTGTTGCGGAGGAGGTGCCCTTGAACCATATCTTGAGGGGAGAAATCCTATTCAAATATAATCGATCCCGACAAGGTCGTCACCCGTGCCATTCTTGAAACCACCCGTTTTGCAAGGAATATCCGAACAGGGCTTAACCCATGCGCTATGTTTAGACACCCTTTGAACAACTAGCTGTTGGTTTCCCAAGGCTGCGTCCTGAGAGTCTCTTGGCGGGCTCAGGTACGGGTGCGGCACCCAGACGCTGAATCTGGTGGTAAAGCTGCAGCGAAGCATCGACCCCACCTTTCTGCGCCCCGGAGAACCAAGTGAGGTAATTCCTGCGGGCCAGACTTTCACCTGCAAAAAGTGAAACGCGTGGCTGCCCACGTTTCCCCTATTGAGGGTGGGTTTGTACATCATCTGGTGGGCCAATTTCAAGACGTTTCAAGGGGGAGTGAAGAGGACATTGTGAACCTGACTGTCTTGGTTCTGGAGGTTTAGTTTCATGTGGTGTTTGATGTTCTTGGTGGTTTTCCTTAGTTCTGGTGGACTGCAGTGGGCCCAGAACAAGGTGTTAAGCCAGCATACCAAAGGGTGGGATGTATGTATGTTTATCCCATTGCCACAAAGCAGTCCCTTACTTGTAGTGTGTCCAATGCAACCATAGGCTAATCACGATGGTTGGCATGCTCTTTAGTAAAGAGTCTTTACCTGTGTTGAGGGTTCGCTGTTCAGTGCAAGACCGACATTGCGCAGGGGACAACTATTGAAATAGGGGCAAGCATGGCTCCAAATGAGAACGACCATTCTCGGGAGGCCACACTGAGTGGCATTTGATGTTAGCGCTTGTTCACTTCACAGCTTACCATAGCCAACCTGTTGACCGATTTGCCTCCCAGTGTTTCAGTGCAAGTGACTTCCTGGTTTTCTGTCATACGCCTGCCATGAACAGGAGTTTTCACCGGTTCCTGAAACAATCGCTCAAACACGTAAGCTGGTTTCAAACGGTAAATTTGGCGCCAGTCCAGGGGATGTGTTGGAATGACCATTTTGGGTGATTCCACCTGATTCCACCCTTTAAGTCGCTGTTTGTTTGGTTCGTTCCAAAGAAGCAGTCAAGCAACCGAGAGGACCGAATCCCTCTTTTGTATTGTTTGGCAGGAGGGTGTCCCACTAAATCAAGTTACTAGGATTTCTTTTGAGTCTACTTTACGGCTGGTTCACAACATATGGGCCAGAATCAATCGTACGTTTGCTTGGGGGCCAACGAGGAAATAACACTGGTGAACCTCGAGGGTTCTCTTCTACCACGCGAGTGGCCGGATGCACCTGACCGCTCAGGAGCTGCGTGCGCCTGTTGGCAGCCTCAGAGGTGCCTGGTTTGGTGCCCAAGCTCGAGAAGCGAGGCGGGCTGAGGCGTCCTTTCAATAGCACCCCCCACTTTTTGGAGGACCCCAAACACACAACTCAGACACAGCCCTGGTGGGAAGACTAAAGTAGACCAACAGTTGAGATGCCTGTGTGTGTGTGTGCGTGCGTGCGTGCGTGCGTGCGTGGGTGAGTGGGTGTATGTGTGTGTGTGCGCGCATGTGTGTGTGTGTGTGTGTGTGCGTGCTTGCTTGCTTGCTTGTTTGTTTGTTTGTTTGTTTGTTTGTTTGTTTGTTTGTTTGCATGTGGCTGCGTGTGGGGGCTGGTGTGAGTGGGGGAAGGGGGGGGGTTTCTCAGGGGCAGTTTTATGATTCAAGCGTCAGTTTGCCAAATCCTGTCCGGCCAGCCCTGTCCCAGGTTGAGGGTGCCGTTCGCATTCGCCACGTGTGGTCCTAATGGTCCGATTGGTTGAACACGGGCGGAGCTTTGGAGTGGTTTCGGCTTGGTATGTTCATCCGCCCACCAATTTGTTGACCCATGCACAGGAGCTTCTCTGATTGCTGGATCAGGAAAGTCTAAGGGGAAAGGCATGCAGAATTGCCTTATTGCTCGGAGCCCTCTCTCTCATTGTGTGCTGGGGTTTCTTAATGTTATCTTCAGATTGGTCCGGAAGATGTTCATGTCCACCCCTGATTATTTTGCCTTGTTGTGACGGGCTTACCTGAGCTCGGCATGATGCAGGTTTTGCTCTGAGGTCCCTTGTGTCGGGGTTTAAAATCATTCTGCCTCGTAATATCCAATTTCCTATTTGTGAATTTGTTTGGTATTGCAGAAGGTTTCTGCAAGGGAAGTTCCCGTGCGGTGCCAAGGTGCAGGCAGTTGGTGCAAGATTGGGCTCCTTTCCCCATTGGCCAGCCATGTCTTGAAGGCATTGGACTGATTGAGTTCTTCGGGCTTGCGTCACTCTTTCTGATGGCTTTGCCGTAGGTGGTTTATTATTGGACATATCATATACAGGGCGTTTGAGGGTACTGATTGTCAACGGTATGAAATGGAATCCCCATGGAAGCAACACCCTTCTTATTGTTCCTTCATGAGACAAACCCATGAGCAACCCTGTAATGTCCCTGCTGCAGGTTGTTTACGTATCAATTTTGCGTTGAAAACATATCCTTGCCGCTTGACATGCACCCCGGCAGCCCCTCAGATACAAATCTCCTTCTGAGGGACCTAAATGGGCCATCATATCAGTTGTTTTCGAACAGAAAGCACCGGGGATGGGTTGCTTGTTTAACATTGGTAGCCCTTTGGGCAACCCTGGCAGGCTGGTTCGACCGCTGGCCCCAGACGCTGCCCATCGACCAATCCACCGAGCACAGCGCAGCACAGCTGGCGAGCGAGATGCTGCAGAAGGCCGATGGCGGGTCTCCCCCCAAAACGCCGAGTTGCCCAGTGGATCCACCGTGGGAATTGGCTGGGTTTAAGGGACGAGCAAACCAGCAGGGGATGACCATTTACGCACTGGAGAAGGGTGGTCAGCCGCACACACACACACACAAGGACCCAAATTCGTACGAGTTTCAATCAGTACCCGCAAAAGTGTCACAAATCCCCATGTAAATGATGTCCAATTGACGTGTCTACTGATTTGGGTCTTTCCTAAGATGGCGGACTCTCCAAGAGGTGCCAATTGTGACTGCTGAATGCTCTTTGCAAACGATTACTTTTGCGCCCCGATGGGGCACCTCGACAGGTGATCCCGTCAAGAAATCGGGAACGGGCAACGGATCTGCCAAGGTGGGTCTAACAAGTAGGGCACTAGGATAGGGGCAGACTTGATAGTCATTCCATGAACAGCAGACCTCCAAAGGGCGTTTGTTTGGGACCCTTTGAAGATGGATTGAAGTTTTTTTTGTTTGGCTCCTTAAAAGATACATTTTGCCCATTTTCCACCAAAATCAATGGACACCACCATTTACAAGGCAATGTTCAGGTGTATAATGTAAGGATCCCTGTTAAACATGCTTTAACCGGTTGCTGTTGTCAGGAAAGCTGACAGGTGGTTTAAACAGCAGTGGCTCAAGCACTATGCTCTGTCGGCGCTGGTCAGCAGCTCCTGGTGCTTTATGGAACAAGCATGTCCTATTTTCAACCATCCCAAACAACCCAAAACAAGATCTGACATTTCCCACATGCCTTTGGGCGAATACTCCGAACCATGTCAGGCTTGCACTGGAGGAGGTCACTTTGCAGACAGAATCTTTGTGCTAAACTTCCCCCTTGGCTTCTGAAGCGATTGCCACGTTTCGGATTTCGGAGGCCCTGGAGCGGCTCAGCCAATCCAACGCGGAGCGCCTCGGAAGGGCAAGGGGGCTAAAACTGGGGCACCCCTTTGAGGGAGACACACAGTTTAGAAAAGACCCCGGCTGCGGAATATATATATATATAGGTATAGGTATATATATATATATACAGTTCATTCCAAGTTGGGGAACCTTTGGTGGACATCATTTACCGGGGAATCTGCCACCAGTTAGCGGAGGGCACAGGAACGCTAGTGGGAACGGGTTCAGGCATTCCTGATTGAAGGACACAACCACACACTCCCCCAGTCCTGGGGCATGTCCAAGGCGGCACCGCAAAATGGAACATAGCTAAAAGCGAGGTGCCGGGTGGTGAAACAATGGGATCATTTGCAGGACATTTCCTAAATACCTAACAAAAATCGGCGTTTAGGGTAGGAATTTCGGCAAATGCGTTAAGTTGCGGAACTGTTTGTCAAATTTGATTTATTTGATTTGTTTCAGTTTCCCAATCCGCGTGTTTGTTCCAGCCTTGTCACGAGTCCGCATCGCAGGCTGAAGCAGCGCTTTGGCAGCGACAATGTGCAAGCGCGACCGGTGGTGCGAGTGCGCGAGGCAAGGGTTGTGAGGTATGAAGGGTGCTATTTGAACTCTGCGGAATTTACAGAGTCACAGTATTTTGGATGACGGCAAATCTAGGGGTTGATGACTCACAGACCCCAAATTGCGGTTCTTTGGATTTGCGGCTTTATGGAGTGCATAAGTGCAACAGATGCCATTGGGTGGTTTTTGTAACAGGTGTTCAGCCGGTTTTTTACTTGGGGACACGTGTCCGGGAGGTACGGAGACAGGTGCGAGAAGTGCCAAGGTTTGGGTTGCTGCAGGGTTCCTGAGAAAGCCTTAGGACTGGACGCGTTGTGAGGTAGACCCAGCCCTCAAGAAATGGTGTCGTTTTGTTAACTCGTTGCAGGCCAAGACGAAGAATGGAACGAAACTGACCCCAAAGGTCGAATGTGGTCGATTTGCTGGGTGAGGTATAGCGAGGTGAGGCTGCGATGTGGGTGCTTCCCCCCAAAAAAGCGATCCCCATTCGGGATGGTGAAAGGAAAGCCAACAAGACCCCAACCGGGCCCAGCCACGTAAGTTGAAGTCGGTGAAGTCAGAACATTTCAATTGAATTTCCCACATCCTGTAAAATTATTTGCTAAGATCCTTCTTTGCAAGCACATGGCCGAGCATCAAGGGAATCTGAGGGTTTCTCAAAAGGAACACATAGACGAATATAATGGAGAACCAAACTCAGAAATGTACATACCCAGCACAAGACCAGTTGTGGCCGACATTCAGGCCCGAATCAAGCTGTGTGGCGATGTCCGGCCAACGGTTCCAAGGCCCCCTGAGTTGCTTGCAGCCGAAGGGATGGAAGTTAGTTGTTCAACTTGTTCTGCTCTTTGTTCTGCTTTTTGTTTCTGTCCAAGGGGTTTCGTGTGCTCCAATCGCCGCCACCTCCAGTGAATGGCTTCAATCTGCCGGAATTTGGCATTTGTTGCTTCGGGTTCAGCCTTGACATCCTCTCAGCACAGCCCCAGCCACCCCCCGCTGATCCCATCACTTTCGCCAAGACAACCCTCGATGCACACGAATCGAAACGGCCAAAAGCAGCCGGAGCGCATGGAGCGCAGGTGGAGACAATGGTGGTCGTGAGCTTGCTCAAGTCCATGCAAGAGCTGGCGTTGCTCAGTGGGGCGCCCGGGAGCGGGACATTCGATTGGGGCTCAGACATCGCCCAATTTTGGGTGTTTGACAAGGCTAGAGGTAGCGGTGTACATTTGTGCCATTTGCGCAGTTGACTGCGCTTGGCGATGGTGGAATGTGTATTGATTGTTATTCGCCTGACACCTAAGAACTCTAGCGTCCCTTTGGAGGAATGGTTGCTGGGGACCCGCTTTAGGGGTGAACTGTGCCTCTAAGTTTCCCTGGGCGCTGCTGGATTCATCCGTTGTGAATTGGCGGGCCAACACGCCCTGGGACGCTCGTATCATACCCTATCAGGTGGGCGACATAGCGGAAACCCACATAGGTTAGATGTGATAGGGCAACGCCTCGAAACCCCAAGCTTCCCTAAACTGAAGGTTTCTCCAACGGCCCATTTTGAGAGCTTTGCCGCAAGAGCGGCCAGCCTTGCAGCATACTTCCAACAAGCCCAGACGTTGACCCACTTGTTTGCTTGTCTTTGGGGTGCTGCATTTACACGTGCCCATTGTTGACAGGCAGTTGGATGTAGTGTTGTTATCCAGTGCCAGTGCAGTGACCTCATGCCGGAGGGCCATGGCGACCCAAAAGCACAACCTTTGTTCCGTACTTTAAGATTGTGTGCATGTAATGTCTATATGTACGTGTATTCAGCTGGGCAATACCCAAGGGGAGCCTCGAGGGGCTATCTTTTCCTAGGTGTGCCTGCATTGACATGCCATGTGCGGCGCATTTCGGCGCCAGGCAGCTACGAGTACCTCTTCGAGGCACTGCGAGATGCGCAGCGGGAGCAGCTGAGCTGAGCTCGGAGATGGGAAGCCCTCCAGGTGCCTTGCCGTTTGGATGCACAGCCAGCAGAGTTTGGCCGCCGGGTCGGTGCCATTGGAGGGTGTAGTGCTGAGGTGGGTGAACAAAAACGCTACTTGGGTGATGCTGTGTGATCATATATTATTAATCACCGTTGAGTGCCGTTTGCGAAGCGAGTTGTTAGTTTCGACCCTTCCGGTATGCAAAATACAACAAGCCAACAATTGAATTTGAGGATGTGTTCGACGCCTCGTTCACATGCAACTGTGCCTGGTGGCCGTGAACAGACATTTGAAGTAATTCGGAGAAACCCACTGCCGACCACTTGGAGGGGTTCAGCAGAGTAACTTAAGAACATCTACAAGCATTGATTCCGGACATTCCAACAATTTTGACCCTGGCTTGCACTTGGACTACTGTACTTCGAGTGCTTCCTCCAACTAAATTCCTGAGTCCCCAGACTCTGCATGTGTGTTGTGAGGGCAATGTTAAATGTCAAACAAAACACGTGGATTCTTTTTGGCCATGGGACAGGTGTCTTGCAGAGCGGATACGACGGATTTTACTTGCAGAGGAGTGGCCTATAGCCACAAAAACATCAACGGTTCACACTGTTTGCCAACCAAGGCCCAGGTGTAGCCCTGACAGGAACTGTGCTCCCTTATGAAGATGACTTGGCTCATCACTCTCGAGAATGGTTCTATTGCACCCTGGGCACATGCGCAACATATTTCTTCCAGTTGTTAGGTGGAATCATTGCTGCGTGCTGTTAGCGGCGGGGTTGTTGCCACTATGTGGTGAAACAACATGAAGGGTAAGAGATTCAATCAGCTGAGCAATGAATTGTTCGAGTAAGTTTTTTGGCGACCTGAAAGGGTGTTGCACCCTCAGGTTGGTGGACTATTTAAATTCATATGTTTGGTTTGCCACAATTGTTCATTGTTAAAACCTCCTGAAAAGTGGTGGACACAAACCATAGCTCCTCGCCAAAATGATGTCCGCAGAGGTCCCCGTTGGTTTTTTCATACCCATCACAGGCATGTGCTTCCGCGCGCCCGAGGAAAGAGCGAATGATTCGTGCAGAAGATCCGCGCGAGAAAAGACCGGCCCAGGTTTGAGAGACCCCTTGGGTCTGCCTGAGTGTCTCGATTCCTTGTGAGTCTCTGTTCCGATTGTCGAATTGGCTAGGCGATGAACTCCATGCGATGGGCGTGGCTTTTTTGGGGCATTCCCTGCCTGGGGTTGCCAAGGGAAGGAAAGCCACTTGGGAGGCTCCACTTAGAGACAAACCCACTTGCCTTGGGCGTGATAGCTCCGCGCGCTTGCCAAGGAGTTGGCAAGACAGAGTCCTCTGACCGTTGCTTGGCAGAAGGAACGGATGTGACTGGAAGCCTGGCTGGGGAAGAGCTAACCTGATCAATTGAGCTATCTTAGCTAACCTGATCAATTGAGCTATCTTAGCTCTCGATTGTGTATTCCTTTGAAGAATGAAGCTGGGAGCTGTGTCGCACAATCACGTTTCTCCTTACAGCATTTGTTCAAAGGCTGGGAGAGACGCCGCGCTTCGAAAGTGGGCGTAGACAAAACATGCTTGTCAGCTTCTCGTTTTGGTTTCAGCGTGATCACAGCGGGGCTTATGGAGCAAGGGCATGAGGAATGGACAATGGCGTTGAGCCGAGGGCGAGCATTCCTTGGGTTTGGTCAAAGACCTGGGCCAGCACATGGTCGTGTGACCTGGTGGAAATGTATTTTGTTTCCTCACCTTTTTTTCCGGCTGGAGAAGCAAGCATGAGGAGAGACTGTCAAGCTGCATCTTTTGCAGCTCTGCGCAACTGTAACTTCCAACGAGTTGTTTCAAGGCCCGCTGAATGAACAAAGTGTGATGATAGCATGGGAGAATTAGAGGTGTGGCGTCGCCCGTTGATTCTCCGGGGTTTGGTTATTGCATTGGTGGATGCCATGGCCACTAGCCACTCGCCGGGCCCGGGCGGGGGTCATACAGATGACTTACTTTGGAGTCGCGGAAAAATGTGAATTTTCCACAACCATGCTTCCAACAATCATTCTTTCCTTGAACAGACAAGCACAAACAGCCCAAAGAGTGAACCTTGCTCCGAGCTGTCGGTGCTGAGTCTTTCTACGCCCGCCGTCGCTGTGGGATGCCGCCCAGCTCCCTCCTGAGTTCAGACGAGGAGAGCGAGGACCCTTTGCATCCCCCGGCTCGGCCCTGTGACGAATCTACTCTTGTACAGCAGTTTTTCTTATGGGAAAAGTAAGCGGCTGGTTTTGCGTCAACATGTTACTTCTGTAGGATCATTAGATATCATTACTTTGCTCCTTGCCTTGTGCTTTCCAGGGCCTTATGTGGTCCTGAGTCAGCTCTTGAGGATGTCCCTGGTGGGTGCCTTCGGACACCCGGCCACTGAAATCTCCGCGTTTCTCCCACGCAAGCGACTCGCAGGACGAAAGCGGGCTCCAGTCTCCGGGCCCCTTCCACGCCAAAGGCGCGTACCGTTTTGGACCAACGCACCGGCAATGAACCTTGGACTGGGTGATGGAACTAGGGTAGTATCTCATTGTTTATATTGTTTGAGGAAGGCAGGGCCTGGTAAGGATTTGCACTTTTGTTGAAGCATCACAAGATCGTACGAGGGTCTTCGGAGAACTGGGAAGGTTGGGACGGGGTATTTACAGTTCCTTCCAGTACTAACTGCTTGATTCAGAGTGCCAATTCTAAGACTTGTTCACTTGTTCTTTGTTCTTTGGTTGAGCTGGCTGAGTGGGCTCGATTCACGGGTTTCGTCCCAAGCCCTCATTGAGAAAGGTGGATGCGATTTCTATCAACCCGAGATGCGTTCCAAACACCGGGCAGATCGGCATTTTGCAGGTTGCATCAGGCCCTGCACCCCAAAGATTGAACCTGAGGAGCAAAAGGGCAGATGGGGTTTAAATCAGGTGCTGTTCTGCTTTGGGATTTGGTCTGAGAGGTGTGTGGAGGCAATCTTGGCAGGTAATTGATGGCAGGCCTTTGGTCGTTACTGCCATCCACTTACCCCCAAACCGACGACGATTAAGTAGATTTGATATACACCTTCCATCCTTCAGGCACGGACGGAACCCACCCGGCTCCCTTGCCCTTTCGCCCCCTCGCAATTGAGCAACCGCAAGTTTGATTCACAGGGGCCACTTGAACATCAGGAGGCAATGGCTCAGTTATTCCCTGGAGTTGCTGCCTTTGGTAGACTTGCACACGTGTTGGTATGAGTATGTATGATATGCCCAGTAATGTTGGAGAGTGATTAGTAAAGGCCCCCCCCTCAAACGAATTGGGGAGGGTCAATAGCGAAAACCCCAAAACAAAATGGGGGTCAGACTGGGACCTGCCTGAGTAGTCTTCCAGTAAGTATTGTTTAGAATTGGTTTAGAATTGGTTTAGTATTGGTTTAGTATGCCTTTGAGCTGGCTCACTACGGTTTAGAATTGATTTAGTATTAGTTCAGTATTCTTTTCAGTTGACTCACTACAGTTTAGAATTGGTTTAGTATTGCTTTGTTTTTTAGTTGAAATTATTACAGTTTAGAATTGGTTTAGTATTGTTCCTTTGAGCTGACTCACTACGGCTTAGAATTTTACCCGAGAACAGCGGGGCTTTCTTCTTGGCAGGCTGCCCTGGCCATTTTTTCTCACAATTCCCTACCCTTAAACAAACTGCATTATTGCCATCCTGGGCGTTCCGTGTGCCACCCCCTTGAACATTTGTCAGGGTGCATCTTCTAGTAGAGGGATTGATATGTAAGGAATTTGGTGGTTTGGGACAGGAAGCAATCCAGAGATTCTGGACATTTCTGGCTTTACCTGAGAACAGCGGGGCTTTCTTCTTGGCAGGCTGCCCTGGCCATTTTTTTTCAATTCCCTACCCTTAAACAAACTGCATTATTGCCTTCCTGGGGGTTCCGTGTGCCACCCCCTTGAAAATTTGTCAGGGTGCATCTTCTAGTAAAGGGATTGATAACGAATTTTGTGGTTTGGGACAGGAAGCAATCCAGAGATTCTGGACATTTCTGGCTTTACCTGAGAACAGCGGGGCTTTCTTCGTGGCAGGCTGCCCTGGCCATTTTTTTCCACAATTCCCTACCCTTAAACAAACTGCATTATTGCCTTCCTGGGTAAGTGGTCGGGTTGGTAGCGGTGTGGTGTGGTGATTTTGGAGCGTGGGGAGCTGCTGGGACTGGGAGGAGCGTGGCGTTGGAGTCGAACGTTTCAACCCTTAGTCCATTCTTGGAAGGGAACATATTTTCGGGATTTCGGGCTGATTTTTTCTGTAATACCTACCCTTTTTGCTTTTCAGGAGAGTGACTAATTTTGAGATTTTTCCTGTATTCACTCCCATTATACTAATCGCTATCCAACATGACATCTCATGTGTATTGGCAGTGCCCAGTTTTGATCGAAGCTGAAGCCCAGAAGCTCCAGAGTCAAGGAAGCTGTGAATCGTTGAAGCTACCTGGACCCATTCTTTCTACGACGTTCTACGGCCGGTAGGAATCTTTACCAACTTGGTGCGTCTGCAATTCGCGAGCCCGTAGGCGCCGACCGGACTACAAAGGCAGATGCAGATCGAAATGGGCCGGGAGGGCGGCTGCATAGGCATCGTGGTAAGCGCACACATACATCTTACATGTATCTTCATAGTTCGGATCCACGCTGAGGAAACACATTTCAGAGGCGGTTTCCAAACGTGCGCCTCAATCCCAGAGACCATTGCTCCCAACCGGCCGGTCCGCTGCGTCGGTTCAAGTGCCCCAGAGAAGCAGTAGCTGGTGCGTGACTCCGCAACTTCCTTGTCCAACGCTTACCATGAAATGCCCCTTCTGCTTATCAACACCTTTTGCCGATGCAAGGGTCCAACTATCCAAGATTCAGATAGTTTCCATTACCCTCAGGGTAAAATGAGCACAGAACCGCTGTAAGGCCACTTTATAGGGGTGCATGCCGTTTGCCTTCCGTAGTTGACTCGTGGTCACTTGAAAGCTTGTTTTTTGTTCAGCGGTCCAAATGCATCACCTATTGGTTGCCAGTTTGGGGTTGCTTGTTCTTGGTCGGGGTTAACTTTGCAGAGCTCGGCTGAGTCTCAACTTTGCCGTTTCGCAATCCAACAAACTAAGATGTTTCTCTTTGCCCCTTTGGGTTTCCCTTCCGGTTTGGCCAGCCAACAATATTATTTTTGAACTTTTGCAGGGTCGGGTCGTATCTTGACCAAAATTCCAGGTCTTTGAGGTGTCTTTGGAGCAGGGTGAGGAATGGTCAATGATTCGGCAACCTAGACAAGCACCGCTTACCGTGCTGGTAGGCTTTCCAAGCGGACCATGACAAAGGCTGCTGCCCATGTAATTAGTACCTGACCATTTGTGCGCTCGAGCCCAGCTCTGCTTCGCATTTATTCTTCTTTCTGCCAGTGTGGGCCTTATCTCATGGCGAGATGAGGGTCTCTTGTCTTCCTTTCACTTCGCTGCTCTCTTTCAGACCTTCAACCCTTGAAGCTTCTGGAAATCAATCCCCCTGCTAGCTGGCAAGCGTTTTTCTTGTGAAAGGGATCAGCAAGCAGATACTGTTAGGGCCAATGCGCATGGATTTCGACGCCAGGAATCGGATCAGGGCATCAGCGCCTGATTCCACGAGGCAGGGGGGTACCTTCCCATTTTAACCCCCGTGTGTACAAAAAGTTAAGCGGCTCACAGAAAGCTAGCCTTAGTTGAGAGGTGACAAAGCTGGTTTCTTGTCGCAATCATTTTATTGAGTGGTTTCAGTGAGCTTATGCTTATGTTTCTTTTGTCTTGCCAGTATAATATTGGCAACTTTGCAAATGCCATGTTACGCAGAAATGCGACCCGTTCGGCGAAACTTCGCTTTGCCTGAATGTCCAAATCCAGTGGCCCTTTCCAGCTCTCCTCATGGAATTGAATGAAACCAAGAAGGACCGTTTTGCCAAGGTATTGTGTAGATTTGGTGCACTGGTGAACCTAGCGCATACCCTGAAGGCTATGGGGGCTCTTCCCAGATAGGCTTGGGGCAGCTTGCGGGGAGGGTTCCG